TTATTTTATCTATTTTGATTGATTTTAGATGGTTATGGGGTTTTCAACTGTTGTTGTGTTCTACCTCGACCATACCCGTGTTCAGAAATAGCCCAGCAGGTAAGAGACACAGAAAGGTTGTGGCAAGTAGAAGCATCTCAGAGACTTCACTATGTCCCCTCCTCAGCTCCTGCTCCTAATCAGCCAACTTCAGAGATGACTAGACAGACCTGCCTTTTTAAGCATCACCTAAACTTGCCCCATCCCGCTTTAAAGAGAGTGATTGCTGGTTGCCTTCCTGCCAGAGGTGAAACCAGGGTAATCCTCCTTACCTTAACTTGGCTTCCAATCAATAAGTAAAAACAGAACTTATTTAAGTCAGGACAGGGACCCTTAAACAATGTGTACTGAATATTAAAAGGCTACCCCACAGCAGCTGTGTTTTGTTTAGAGGAATGAGCAAAATATACCAAGTTGTAAAAACATAATGTGGAAAGCAAATCGCAATTCTACATCTAGTTTACAATGAAGCATGCCATAGAACTAGCAGCCATACATTTGAAACATATAACAGCATACATTACTGTATTTTCGCTCTCAGAGTTCAGCCTCTATCTAGTCCACCACCAGTTTTTACTTCCTTTTACTCTGCTTATTGTTGATGGAAACTCTTATAGCAAATGTTCTTATTTGGTGACAGTGTTCAAGCAGCCAGAATATACTTCTTTCAGCTGGTACCGGGTATCAGATGCCATCTACTGCCTAGGTGGTTTAACTGTAAACTTGATTCAAGAACTCATCTCTTAATACCAAAACATCAGGGGTCTGGTATCACCTTTTCTGACTAGTACATTTTATTAAAAGGTGTAGGTTTTCGTGAGCTGCATTTCACTTCATCAGATGCATAGATGCCTTTTAATAAAATGTTAGTTGAAAAAGGTGCTACCCGACTCCTGATATTTGGTCACTACAGACTAACATGGCTCTCTTAATACCAAGAGATCTTAATCCAGTTCAGTATATTAAGGCTGTCATAAACATGCCATACATTCACCCAATTTAACATGTGCATGAAATAAAAATTATGGTTGCAATTTTTCAAGGAACTTTTATATTACTACGTTTTCTGTGTCTTCTATTCCATGGCTACCCACCGGAACTTGAAGTCTGTGCTCAACTTACAGCTGCATTCAAAGAGGAACAAATAGTTGCTCCCTTTAATGGGAAGCGCTAATGGACACCGCTGAAAGACATCTGCTGACACTGGCAGTTTCGAGTCCATCTCACATTGCAAACCACACAAGTTGTAAACATCTGGCCCACTTTTTTTTTCTTTTCCCCATCTCCTGCCTTCTGTAATATCGCACCTAAATTCTGAAAATTTAATATCTTAAACACACTCTTTCGTGCTAATAGAGATTACCGAATTATGAATTTGAGTTTTTTAAAAATGGACCAACAAAGTAATGCTTTATGGTTAAGAGGTACTACTGCTAGGCGTTAGAGGAGACGCAATGAAGGATTCGGCTTCAGAAGACACCCTCCAACAGAGCCCAAGCCTCTCCCCCTCTTCCCAGTGGGGCGGGTCTTATTTGCTCTTCCAACCCTGGCGAATACTAGAACCGCAGCTGCCCGGGCTGAAGGCGGCAGGAGTTACGCGGAGATGCTGCTAGAGAAACTGCGAGCAGGGTTTTCCGCTCGGCTGCATAAAATTGCGCCGCTGGGAAAGCCCAACGCCAACCAACTCCACCAGCGCCCTCCGGAAGCGCAAGCTTCGCTCTACGTCCACGTGAGTTAG